CTGGATCCCTGGATCCCTGGATCCCTGGATCCCTGGATCCCTGGATCTCTATCCTGGGTCCTGGGTCCTGGGTCCTGGGTCCTGGGTCCTGGGTCCTGGGTCCTGGGTCCTGGGTCCTGGGTCCTGGGTCCTGGGTCCTGGGTCCTGGGTCCTGGGTCCTAAAAAAATTTCTTACCATAATGCCGAGTCCGATCCTTCGAGTGCAAGTCGCGAGCCTTGATTATCGATACAGTAATCTTTCCAGAGTTTGGCAAGTAGCACAATGAGATCATCACTTCTCCGCAGGCATCCTAAAAGTTGGGAATGTCAATTTTTTGGAAATATTTTTCAAATTATCTAAAATCGTCTTAAATAATTTGTTCTTAATGTTCGAAATTTCTTTTTTTTTTGAAATATTTTTTTCAAAAATTTGGACCGTACCTTCGAAACGGTCGGCCGTTGCAAATGTTTCCAATAAACCGGACTATTCTCAAATTTCACATGTTTCAACGGAAGTAAAATTTCTCCAATCGGATCGTCGGACGAGAATCGGTCATAGTCCATGACTTGGAGCACCAGCGTCATGTCGTGGAGTTTCTTCATCGAGTGTCCTGGAAAATCAATATTTTTGAAAATGGATGACAAAAATAGATTCAGCTCATCAAGAGCTTCAAAATTAGTATACTCATGTATGTGTTTCAAAAAAAAATTTTAGGCTCCTCCCCTTTTTCCCAGATTCCAAAAAGCAGAACCTCAGCATATTGGAATCTAGTGTTCTGGAAAATCGATATTTTGGAAAATAAGGATCAATAATGGATTCAGCTCGTTGAGAGCTTTGAAATGAGTATACTCATGACAGGGTTTCAAAAAAAAATTTTTTTTTTGAAATTTTGACCCCGCCTCCTTTTCACGGATACCAATTTTTTTGAACCTAGGCTTGTTGGGTATTATTTCGAAGCTCTAAACCTCACAAACTCAAAAATATTTGAAATTTCCATATCAGATTTTTGATTCCAAATTTATGACCCTTACTAGTTCAACTACTTGGTGTCTCTAGACTCCGACCCTTTTTTTTCATATTCCAGTTTTTTCAAACCTATGCATGTTGGGTATCATTTTGAAGCTCTAGACATTCTCATTTCAAATTTCAATTAATTTTCAAGCCAATACTCCCCATTCCAAAGTTATGACCCTTACTAGTTCGACTACTTGGTGTCATCGGAGGAGTCAGAAGATGTTTCGTTGAATAAGTGACGTCATGAGGCTCAACGCTCACTGAGCGATGATGATGATGGTTGTGATGATGTCTGGGAGAAGATCTGGGTGATCCTCCTGGGATACCACTACGATGACGACGTGTTGGGGATAGGAGAGAAAAGATGTCCATAAATTCTAGAGGATTACTGTAGAGAGAGGATTACTGTAGAGACGAAGGAGAGAGAGAGAGAGAGCAAAAAAAATTGAAAAAGAAGGTCAAGAATGTCGTAAAAATATCAAAAACAAAAAACAAGTTTTACCGCAGGTGGGTTTGAACCCGTGACCTCTAGATCATCAGTCATACCTCTACCCAGTTGAGCCAAAATGTCAAATAGGTCATTTCGATGTGAAATTTTGTGCTGATTTTGAATATGCAAACCATTTTGTTCTAGGATTCTTGGAACTCGATTTATTTCAAAAAATCTGGGTGGATGCACCGTGTTGGGATTCTCAAAAATTTTAAATTTCGAAAACTTGACGTTTTCGAGTTTCAAAATTCTCCAAAACTGCTCGAAACTCTTTCAAAAAAGGATTTCAATAATTTTACCCCGTAGGGGTTTGAACCCTTGACCTCTAGATTGCCAGTCATACCTCTACCCAGTTGAGCCAAAAATGCCAAAATTGGTAAATAAGTCATTTCGATGTAAAATTTTACGCTGATTCAGAATATGTAAAGCGATTTGCTCTAGCGTTTTTAGAACTCGAGATAATTCCAAAAATCTGGGTGGGTGCAACATGTTGGGATTCTCAAAAAAACCTAATTTTTGAAAAGTTTTTCGTATTTTTTTCAAAATAGCGACATCAAGATGAGCCAATAAGACTTCGAATTTTTTCGAATATAAAGGAAAAATTTGAAAAACAATTTTTCCAAAAAAAAAAAGAAGAACTCTTGCTCATCTAATATTCGTGGGACCCAAGCCCTCGGGGCAAAAAACTTGTCTCCCTTTTTTTGGTTTTTTGAAAAATTTATAAATTCAAAACAAAGTTTCAAAGGTTAAAAATCGTCTTGAAAATGTTCAAAATTGTAAAAAAAGCTCAAGTTTAGACGATAAACTAAAATTTTCGTTATCAGACAAAAATTCAATATCCGGTTTCTTTTTTTTTTGGCGCAATTTGATTATTGAAAAAGGAAAAAGAATGAAATCATTTTTTAAAATCAAATTGATAATTCTGAATTTCTAGAAAAAAAGGAATTATAGAAATAAAAATTATTTTTAGACCCCAAACAACAATTTTTCCAGAATTTTCGTGCGAAAATGTACATCTTGTGTTTGGTTTAGTGAGAAAACAAAGAAATTTTTTTCCAGGTTTTTGACTTTTTTTTCTAGAAAAAACCAAGAAAGTGGATACCGTAAAACCTGTATTAGAAGAGCCGGTCCTTCTATTTTTCCAAGGTACCTCTGAAGGGCTCTTCTGTTACAAGGGCCCTTCAATTAGAGGGGTCCCTTCTATTTTTCCGGTCAGTTTTTTCCCCGAAATTTAGCATCGAAAATCTCGACGAAGATTCGTTCAAAATTCATGAAAATCTGCCAATTTCACCAAAATCTAGCGAGATTTTTATCGAAAAATAGCGTTTCAACAAATTTCTATTACCGTAAAACCTGTAATAGAAGGGCCTCCTGACTTTCAAATTTTAGCCAATTTATCTCGGTTCCTGACAAAGATAACAAAACTTTGCTAACTGATGAAATGTTTATCATAATATGAGCTAAATTTTATCAGTTGACAGATTTTTGATATCTTTCATAGGAGTCGAGATAATCAAGCTCAAACTTGACAGCATGGGGGCCCTTCTATTACAGGTTTTACGGTAAACTGTGGAGGAGAAAAAATTAGAATTTAGGAAACATTTCGAAAAAAGAAACGTTACGAAATCCTAAAACACACAAAAAATTCCAAAAATTCAGAAAAAGTTGAGGGTGGATTTTTCCTACTACTCATTTCAAAATCTTCATTTTCTCATTAATTTTTCATCCGTTTTACTTTTGAGGAAAAAATGTGAAAAGCCGAAATCCGAAAAAGTTTGAAGATTGGAATTTTTGAGATTTTCTAAGAAAATGTGCAAAAAGTTACAACATTTTGAAATCTTAAACATTAGAGAGTTGAAGTTTAAAACTCTAAAAATTTCTGAAGTTCGAAAATTCAAAAATTCAGAAGTTTTGATTTTTCAAAAATTCCCGAATTCTAAAAATTCGAAAATTCCAAATGTTCAAAATATTCTAAAAATTCCAAAAAGAGATCTCTGAAGAAAAAAATGACTAAAAAAAGTCTCCGACTACTAGCAAAATACTAATTAACCATGACCGTTAAATGATTATAGATCATGAACGCACTTGAAAAAAAAAGAGTGGTCCCTCTTCCTTTTTTCTATTTATGTCCTTAAAAAAGAAAAAAGGGGAAGAGGAGACGTAAATCATTAATTCATGGCTCACTTAGCTTTTTTTTGGAGATTTTCTGAAATTTTTGACGATTCCGAAAAATTTAATTTCGCATTTTAGAGCCGAAAAAAACCTTTTTTCCTAGAATTATCGTGGGAAAATGGATATTTTTATTTGTGATTTTATGAGAAAACCAGGAATTTCTAAATTTTTTGAAAATCTCGACATGTTGCTTCGACTCAGATTTTCTGAATTATTTTGAGTTTTAACAACACCAGTGAAAAATAAAGTGGATATTCAGAATTAGCACAAAATTTCACATCGAAATGACCTATTTACCAATTTTTGCATTTTTGGCTCAACTGGGTAGAGGAGTGACTGCCGATCTAAAGGTCATGGGTTCGAACCCGCGCGGGGTAAAATTTTTTTCGCTTTTTGTGTTTTGCATTTTTCAGCCAGGAGCCTCTTTATTTCTGTTTTCAACAATTCCTTAAGCTTGAAAACTGTGATTTTCAAAATTTCAAGTTTTTGGGAATCTCGACATGGTGCACCCCCTCAGATTTTCCAATATATCGGGAGTTCTAAAGATGCTAGAACAAAACAAAATATATATATATATTCAGAATCAGCACAAAATTTCACATCGAAACGACCTTTTTACCAACTTTTGCATTTTTGGCTCAACTGGGTAGAGGAGTGACTGACGATCTAGAGGTCATGGGTTCGAACCCGCGCGGGGTAAAATTAGTGGAATATTTTTCTGAAATCGTTTTAGACAGTTTTAGATACTTTCAAAGTTTAAGAACTTCACATTTTGGGAATTTTTTTGTTATTTTTCAAAATTTCCGTTTTTGGTGCACCCCTCAGATTTTTAGAATTAATTCGAGTTATAAAAATGCTAGAACAAAACCAAATAGATGTTCAAAATCAGCATAAAATTTCACATCGAAACGACTTATTTATCAACTTTGGCGTTTTTGGCTCAATTGGGTAGAGGGGTGACTGGCGATCTAGAGGTCACGGGTTCAAACCCGCGTGGGGTGAAGTTGATGGAATACCTTTTTGAAAGTGTTTTAAACAGTTTTTGAAAAACCTTAAAGCTGTAAAACTACAAATTCTGGTGGATTTGCTTTTGGTATTTTCAAAATTTCCGTTTTTGGTGCATCCACCTAGGTTTTTCATATTATCTCGAGTTCTAAGAACCCCAGAGAAAAACTGAAAAGATATTCAAAATCAGCACAAAATTTCACATCGAAATGACCTATCTACCAATTTTCGCATTTTTGGCTCAACTGGGTAGACTACCGATCTAGAGGTCAGGGGTTCGAACCCGCGTGGGGTGAAGTTGATGGAATACTTTTTTGAAAGTGTTTTAAGCAGTTTAAAAAGATTATTAAAGCTGAAAAACTCAAAATTGAGGGTTAGGGTTCCAAGTAAATAGGGTCTAGACAATCTTAAGGGACCGGGAATCAGAATTATTGGGCAAAAACAAGAAAAACTAGATTTGAATAATAATAGGAAGTAGGGGAAAACTAATTCTTGAGGGGAATAGAAAATATTTGGGGTAATTTGATATTTGAGATTAATCTTGATCACTCTCGGGAGGAGAAAAAAAAATATGAGCAATGAGAAAAGTGTCAGATTTGTATAGAAAGAAGGATTAATATACTTTTTCTAATTTTTTTTTTCGAAAAAATTGGCAAAAAATAAAATTTTTGATCAGAAAATCCAATTTATTCTAGAAATTTCTTTCGAAAAATCTAATTTCCTCAAAAGACTACAATTCTCTGTTTTGCCCTATGAAATCAGACACAAATTTTATTTATTTTTTGATGAAATTCGATTTGAAAAAATTAAGAGGCTCCCTGGCAACCTAGTAAACAAAATGAATCTAAACAAGCTTTCTAGAAACTTCTATACGTTGAAAACTGCGAAAAACAGAAAACAAAGAAATTTGACTCAGGTGGGGTTCGAACCCGTGACCTCTAGATCGCCAGTCATCGCTCTACCCAGTTGAGCCAAAAATGCAAAAATTGGTAAATATGTTATTTAGAAGCAGAATTTTGTGCTGATTTTGAATATCTGATTAGTTTTGTTCCAGCGCTTTCAGAACTCGAGATAATTTGAAGCACCTGAGTGGATGCACCATGTCGGGATCTTCAAAGACTTGAAAATAAGAGATTTTAAGCATCAAAAACCGCTCAAAACTTTTCAAAACTTTTCAAAAAAGGATTCCAATAATTTTACCCCACAGGGGTTCGAACCCTTGACCCCTAAATCGCCAGTCACCCCTCTACCCAGTTGAGCCAAAAATGCAAAAGTTGGTAAATAGGTCATTTCGATGTGAAATTTTGTGCTGATTTTGAATATGCAAACCATTTTGTTTTAAAATTCTTGGAACTCGAGATAATTTCAAAAAATCTGGGTGGATGCACCGTGTTGGGATTCTCAAAAATTTTAAATTTCGAAAACTTGACGTTTTCGAGTTTCAAAATTCTCCAAAACTGCTCGAAACTCTTTCAAAAAAGGATTTCAATAATTTTACCCCCGTAGGGGTTTGAACCCTTGACCTCTAGATCGCCAGTCACCCCTCTACCCAGTTGAGCCAAAAATGCAAAAGTTGGTAAATAAGTCATTTCGATGTGAAATTTTGTGCTGAATCTGAATATCTAATTAGTTTTATTTTAACATTTTTAGAACTAGAGTTAAGCCCAAAAATCTGAGTGGATGCACCAAAAACGAAATTTACCATTAAAAAAAATCTTCTGAAAATTATTTTTTTTTTTAAACTGCAGATAACTTTACTAAAGATACAATTTCAAAAAATCCTTGTTTAGACTTTTCGGGAAAAGGGAACAAGAAGTTTGCATAAATAACGTAAAAATAAGAGGACAAATATGAAAAAGGGGCTAATTGGAGGAGAGAGAGAGAGCAAGAAAAAGAGCACACAATTACGTAAAATATGTATGTATACATACATCTATGACGTCTTTACTTATCTTTGACTTGAATAGAAAAAGTATGATGAGCAAAAATTTTTTTTTTCAAATTTCGTAATTTTCTTGAAATAGGACGAAGTTTTTGAATTTCACAGATGAGTCAGAGCAGAATGAAGCTATTCAGGAATAGTTCAAAAAACTAAAAATAGCAGAAAAAACATGAAATCCAAGAATTCCAAATATCTAAAACTTCAAAATTTCGAAAAAACCAGTTTTTTTTCGAAAATTTTTTCGATCCATTTTTCCCATTTTTAACCCACTCAACTCTATTTTTTCCCGAAATGAGCCGAAAATTTAAGTTCCCCGCAGAATCTTCCCTCAAAAACTACCGTACCTCTAAAGCTCAAAGTCTCATTGAACGTTGGATTGAGATTCCTTCGATGCACTTTGCTGCGCTCACTTTGTCCGGGGTCTTGGAGCAAAAAGGCGCGGACGTAGGGGTCCGAGGAGCCTGAAAATAAAATTTTCAGAATTTTCAGATCAAGAGCTTTGATTTGATATCACATGAGCCCAGAAATTGATTTTCAAAGTTTCAAAAAAGCAAATTTTCAAAATTTCAAAAAATGAATTTCTAGTAATTTTCTACCCAAAATAGTCAAATTTAGAACTATTTTGAAGGTCTCAACTTCTAAAACTCAGAATTTTAATTTCAAAATCAAAATTTTCAGATCTAAAAAAGTTACGGACCAGTGAAATCCTTGACTGGGAGGTCCACAGCCTCCATCAAATGGACGTGGAGGGTTGAGCACTCTTTTTCGAAGGCAATCGAGAAGTTGATACGTCCACGATACTCACTGACCACCTCTGGACGCAACTGGTCAATAATCTGAAAGATTGGGAACTTTAATTTTTAGAGTTTTTGAAAATTTCTGAATTTTGAAATTTTTCAGAATTTTTGGGAATTTTGGAATTTTGGACACTTGGATTTTTGAGTTTCTGCAGTTTTTGGAATTTGAGGATTCTTGTTTTTTTTTTGAATTTTCGGATCTGAATTTTTTCGGATCTGAATTTCTGAATTTCTGAATTTCTGAATTTCTGAATTTCTGAATTTCTGAATTTCTGAATTTCTGAATTTCTGAATTTCTGAATTTCTGAATTTCTGAATTTCTGAATTTCTGAATATTCTGAGTTTTCAAACTTTTCAGAATTTTTTGGAATTTTTGAGAATTTTGGATATTTGGACCCATTCAAAATTTTCAAAATGATCGAAATCTTGACAGCCGAGATCCAGAGCCCTGAAAATGGCCGAAATGGCCGAAAATCAACTGAAAAGGTACTGTAGATTTTTAAACTCACAGATGTCTTCCACGGATTGATACTTTGAGAGAGTCTCGCTTTCAGACTTGGCTGAACTTTACGGGATTCCGTATCCACTGTCAACGTTGGTGCCAAAACTTCCGGTCGGAAGAGACGGGCGGTTTGTTCACAATCCAATTCATCAATATCCACTGGTTTGCGCATTCTGAAGAAATTGTTTAAGTTTTGAAATTCAGAAACTCAGGATTTCGAATATTCCGAAAATCAGAAATTCAGAAATTCAGAAGACTGAATATGCTTTAAAACTTAGTTTAGAAAATTCTAAAAGGTTTTTAAAAATAACCTTAAAATGGCTCAAAATTGACCGAAAACAGAAATTTTCAATTTATTTTTTAGAAATTCGCTGAAAATCAAAATCCATAACTCACTTATAAATTGCTGCTCCAACTACGACAAACGCCGACAACATGGCTGCTCCGACGACATAAACAAACTCCACAGGTACAGTAATCTGGGTGACCACCATTTTTTTGAAACTGGTGGACTTTTTAGGTTGTTACCCCCCTGAAAATATGGAAAAAAAATAGAAATATAAAACTTTCCGGACTACAGTAGGCGTGGCAAAAAAAAACGGAATATTTGAATATTAATTTCATCCGGGGAAGAAGAAGAAGAAAAAATGGAAATCAGACGAGTTTTATGGAAATTGGCGAGACCGGAAGGAAAAAATTGAGATCTTTTTTGGATTTTTTAGAGATTGAATGATGTGATTTCTAGGAAGAAATTTGCATTTTTGAGAAGAAAAAAATTATGATGAGGAAGTGGGGAAATTGGACTTCTTGGATTTTTTTGGGTCAAAAAACTCGGAATCCAATTTTTCGAACTAGAAAAAGAGAGTAATTGAGAAGATGTATACATTTTTCAGAATGTTTTTTTCCAGTATATATCCCAGAAATTACTTTGTTGTTGTTTATCTGTAGATGGTGTTCGGAGAAAAAAATTTCTCACATTTTTCCGTTGTTTTCCCTCATTTTCTTTTTTTCTGGTTTATTTGGTTCTCATCATCATTTTACTATCATTTTTGTTTTTCAGAATTTTTCGAAAAAAAAAGTCCAAGCGGAATAGAAACTTCCAGAATTCTGAAAATTCTGAAAAACCAGAAATGGAAGTTTACAAAATTTCAAGTAAGGAAATTCAGCCCGACCACCGACCGAGCCGACCAACAGCCGGCCGGCCTGATCAAGCGGACGGCAAAGCGCGCCGACCGACCGATCAGCTCCGACGGTGGTCGGTCGGCGATTTTCGACCGACGAATTATTCAGACAATACAAAAAAGACCGCGAACTTCAAATTTAAAATTTTCAGGAACATAAAAATGAATAATTCAGAAAGGCTGACATTTCCATTTTCGGGGTCCCGAAGAATTGAAATTTTATGAGCCGTAACCTCATGTTTTCGGGAGAGGGGAATTTCAAATTTTCATGACATTTTTGAATTTTATGACTTTGGAAATGCTAGAAGAATTCAGAGATTACAGAAATTGAAAAACTGAAAAATCCTATGGCTCCGCGTCACTTCGAAACCGCGACACTTCGAAACCGCAACACTTCGAAACCGGTCATTTCGAAACTGCAAAATTTTTACGTGACCGTGTTTTTTCCGGTTTCGAAATGACCGGTTTCGAAACGACTGGTTTAGAAATAACTGGTTTTGAAATGGTTGGATTCGAAATGACCGGGTTCGAAGTGTCGCGGTTTCGAAATGACTGGTTTCGAAATGACCGGTTTCGAAACGATTGGTTTCGAAATGACTGGTTTTGAAATGACCGGATTCGAAGTTTCGCGGTTTCGAAACGACTGGTTTTGAAATGACCGGTTTCGAAATGACCGGGTTCGAAGTGTCGCGGTTTCGAAACGACTGGTTTCGAATTGACTGGTTTTGAAATGACGGGATTCGAAGTGACGCGGTTTCCAAACGACTGGTTTTGAAATGACTGGTTTTGAAATGACGGGATTCGAAGTGTCGCGGTTTCGAAACGACTGGTTTTGAAATGACTGGTTTTGAAATGACGGGATTCGAAGTGTCGCGGTTTCGAAATGACTGGTTTCGAAATAACTGTTGCCGAAGTGTCACGCAGTTTCGAAATGACATGTTTCGAAATGTCGCGGACCCCGAAAATTTCCAAAAATACCAAAAAAAAAGAGAAAAAAAGAGTCACAACTTTTGCTCTCCGATCCTTTTTAGAACAAGGAACGGAAGGAAATAAAATGAACAGATAAAACTTGTTTTTCAAAAAAAAAAAAGAAGCGTTCCTAACTCTTTTTACCTCCCACATACTCTTTTTTCTTTTATTCCATCATCACTTCTTCTCTTTTTTCAGAATGAGAAATAGAATAAAAAGGCTGAAAATAGGATAATTGCGTAATCTAGAATTGAATTTCAAGCACTCTAAACTTGCGATTCTGGGTAAAAGGTTCTTAAAAGTGAAAAAGGAAGTTTTGGTGTTTTTGGGATTTTTTCAAATTTCTGAAATTTTCTGGAGATGTTGGAATTATGGAATTTTTCAAATTTCTGAATTTCTGTTAATTTTGAACCTAAAACGCCCAAGTGTTGAATGAATTAGAATTCAAAGTTTGGAAATGGAACACAGAAGTGACCAGTGGCGTCTCTTTATATATATATATATATGTATAGAATTCGTTCAGGAGACAAAGAGTGAAAAATGTATTAGTATTAGTGTATTTAGTACAGCCGGACACTGAATACAAATAGAAACTGAGAACAGAACTAAACTACTGCAAAAATGTAGTAGTACTAGGAGCAAGAAAGGGGCGGAGCTTAAGGGAGTGGAGAGGAGAAAAGGATGGAGTTAAAGGGAAGAGAAAGGTGCGGAGAGATCAAACTACAGTAATCCAGAGGTGTAACAGAATCGGGTGAATAGTGGATATAAAAGGTAAATTTCGAAAATTTGAAATTTTTGGAATTTCGGAATTTTGGAATTTTCAGAATATTGGATTTTCGAACACCGTGGGTTTTGCTAAATTTTCAGAATTTTTGAATTTGCGGGAATTTCAGAAATTTTGGAATTTTTCGATTTTTGGATTTTTTGAATTTCTGAATCTCAGAATTCCAGTAAATCCGAAAATCGGAAATTTCAAGAATTCAAAAAATTTTAGGCTCCGCGTCACTTCGAAACTGGCCATTTCGAAATTACATGACATTTCGAAATCAGTCACTTCGCAACCAGTCGTTTCGAACTAACTGGTTTCCAAATGACTGGTTGCGAAATGACTGGCTTCGAAGTGTCACGTAGTTTCGAAATGACCGGTTTCAAAATGATTGGTTTCGAAGTGTCACATAGTTTCAAAATGACTGGTTTCGAAGTGTCACATACCTTTGAATTGACTGGTTGCGAAGTGACTGGTTTCGAACTGTCGCGGTTTCAAACTGTCCATTATCA